AACTGAATTGGATTGCATTGAGGAAGTTTTTCATGCAAATTTAATATCAAATCACATTGTGTGGTGAACACTTAAAGAAATTTGTAGAATGTAATGATAACACTAAACAGCTCTATGATTTGGGTCAAAAGCCTGGGAGTGCAGTTTATACACAGCTATCCCTTGTGCTGGGTAAGACTCATTATCTCACACGGCAACACTTGATTACCAAGGAAACTCAACAAAATACCCCACAGCATCAAAGGAGGGCTTGGATGTACTTGGAAGGCATCTATATAGGCAGCCAAATTGTAACATGTACATGTACACCAAACAAATAGAAGCTCCTATACCTCGGTGCCAGAGTGAGGTCATATGTGTGATATGTTATGTTACAGAACATATATCTTATAAAAATATATACAGTCAGGTATTTGTTGATGTCTTAGCTAATGCTATTATTTCAAGTAAAACGATACAGATTCCTATGTTATCTCTTGATGTGAACTACATGAGGTTTAAATGTGGATTCCATCATAGAAGCCGAGCCTATAGAACACCTCCGACATGGGGGTCTGTTAAGGACACCTCTGATACTTGCTGCAATCAGCAACATAGGGGTTTGTAGGGTGACCTTCGATACTTTTTGCAATCGTTGTCATTGGGGTCTGTAGAACACCTCTGATACTTTTTACAATCGTCAATAAGGGGAGTCTGATGGGACACCTCCAGTACTTGCTGCCATCATTAACATACCTGTTGTCATTGTCAACATAGGGGTCTTTAGGACACCATAGATACCTGTTGCAATCATTATCAATGGGGTCTGTGTAAGACACCTTCGTTACTTGTTGTCATTTTCAACAAAGGGAGTCTGTAGGACACCTCCCATAAGTGTTGCCATTGTCATCTAAGCAGTCGGTAGGACACCTTCCGATACTTGTCGCAATCATCAACACAGATCACACAGCAAATGATAACTATATATTATCAACACAGTAAAATGGAGAAAATGACTGACAGTATAGTAAACACAGCTCTGACCGATTGTACAAGACTATGCTCTTATCTACTTTACAGTGCTATAATTAAGCAGAGATGTAGAAGTATTATGTTTACACATTGATCTGGAAAACTTATAGATATATTCTGGTGGAGGCTACCAGACAGAGTAAATGTCTGTGAATAGTACAAATTTAGAGCCTTTATTTCTCATTAATAATTTACATGCTGAAAGCTACAAATAAATATGCATATGACATATGCTGTCCAGACATTCAAGCATAGAATATCTGTTTTTCAATGATGTAAAAATCTTCCCTTGTCTATGACCAACTGATCTATTAACTGATACATGTATTGATTCCTGTCTGAACAAGATGATGTTGACATTTCAGTTCTGTTGGTTTATGTCAGATGACAAATGAAACACTCACATGTAACAGTAGTGTTTACAAATTTTGAAATGAAGTAAAGGCACGAGAAAATAATCTCTACCATTACCGGTATTTTTAATAATGTGACCATGAATATTTCAAGTGCAGAAATTGCTCTATCCAATATCATCAGGCATGACAACCACCGATTCCTACTACATTGTACCCACCTACAGACAAGTAAATACTGGACATGGCAACTGCAAAGTGAAACCAAACACCTTCATTCAATTTAGTCAAATCTGGACACAAACACCTCTGCTAACAATGAACTACCCTAAATTTCACTCTGAACATTATATACCAACCACTGCTCCCAGCTACCAGAATACCCACAAGTATATTCTGGACATACAGACCCTGCCCCCTACTACCAAAGTACCCACAAGTATATTATGGACATACAGACCCTGCCCCCTACTACCAAAGTACCCACAAGTATATTCTGGACATACAACCCCTGCCCCCTACTACCAAAGTACCCACAAGTCAACCCTGGACATACAAACCCCTGCCCCCAACTACCAAAGTACCCACAAGTCAACCCTGGGCATACAAACCACTGCCCCCAACTACCAAAGTACCCACAAATCAACCCTGGACATACAACCCCTGCCCCCTACTACCAAAGTACCCACAAGTCAACCCTGGACATCCAAACCCTGCCCCCTACTACCAAAGTACCCACAAGCCAACCCTGGACATACAAACCACTGCCCCCAACTACCAAAGTACCCACAAGTCAACCCTGGACATACAAACCACTGCCCCCAACTACCAAAGTATCCACAAGTCTATTCTGGAAATACCAACCACTGCCCCCAACTACCAAAGTACCTACAAGTCAACCCTGGACATACAAACCACTGCCCCCAACTACCAAAGTACTCACAAGTATATTCTGGTCATACAAGCCACTGCCCCCCCCCCAACTACCAAAGTACCCACAAGTCAACCCTAGACATACAAACCACTGCCCCCTACTACCAAAGTACTCACAAGTCATCCCTGGACATACAAACCACTGCCCCCAACTAACAAAGTACCCACAAGTCTATTCTGGGCATACCAACCACTGCTCCCAACTAACAAAAGTGCCCTGCACAAGTCAACCCTGGACATACCAACCACTGCGTCTGAGTTTGTTATCTTCTTTTGTTTGGTGATTTAATTTTATGCCGTGACAAACCTGTTTACTGACCTTGGATCATTATCATGTTTCACATTAAACAAATTGTGCGTAGGAGTTAGAACTGGTGGCTTGTGTTTCACTTACGTGCTGTGAGTCATTAAGTATTGCAAAAATAGTGGCTCATAAAGTTGGCTTCACTACTGAATATAAATATCTATCCAAAGGGGCATTACATGTCCAGTTCCTCTTCACTATATAATACATATATATATATATATATATAGACCAGGAGGTGGATATCTGTGCCACGCCCCTTTGCATCCCTATGGGATTGAGCTGAGCACTACATACCTGATCTTGATTGATGTATTTTGGATAAAAATATAGAGCATATTTTTGGTTTCTTGATACATTACAGTGAACAAAATTAATCCATGAGAGAAAAAACTGGTGTTCATCTAGGCACTGAGAATATATTCTGTTGATTATGTTTTTAAATAAAGACCTGGGTTGTGTGTGCAGATAGTCCCGTGCCCCTAGCAAAAAATGTAGAGAAGACAAAATGCTTTAATGAAGCATCACAATAAGAAAATATCAGGGCTATATATATATCTCATACTTAACCCTGCTCTCTGATCAGGTTTAGTGTGAAACTATAAGAAAGTGTTATTTGTCATCCTAATACAAATTTCTTTTCACTGTAGTACCTCATATTTGACTGATAATATATATAACCAAAATATATTTTACTCTACAATGCCTATACTCTGGCAAATTTCTCTTCACTCGACTGCATACAGTTAAAGCTTATTATGTATATCAGACTCAAGTGAATATTAATGAAAGGAGAAAAACAGGTATTCTATACTTTACTTAAGTTGAAATGCATAGTTATAAACTGCTATATATATAGATATGGAACCCAATGAAACATTGGTATTCAGATAATCTGAGTTTGTAAGGAAAAAAAGTTCAGCTGTAAGTGCAGGGGTGTATAATTCCAAACAAGCCAGCTGGCGCCCACGGCTAGCAATTTCCATGTCAGAGCAAGTGGAATTTCAGTATGTATTACCAATATAAGTTTAGCTGGCAGAAAATTCAACAACTGATTGTCTGCGGGCTAGTACTGTAAATATGATGTTGTACACAGCTGATCACATGAGCTGTCACATCAGTATTCACCACCTGACACATGTACATGACAGACTTACTGACCTACAGTAATACAGCTATAAAATCAATAACGTGTGTTGTACGTGATACTGAATTCAGCTGATATAAGCTTAGGCAAAAACATATACAAATTTAATTTATTATAATACCAGGTGAGACTTGAATAATCAGATTCATATTTGATAAACAAGCATATACATTTATAGATCTAGACTTACATTGAAAGCATGTTATAATAATACTGTAAACAACAAATAACATGTGATATATCGCACACAAAAAAATCTGTAGATAATAAATTATCATAGGGAGTTGTGGTTTTGTTTCAACATGACTGAAATCTGTACAGCTGTCTGTGGTGAAAGGGGTGTAGGCATGATTATTCATACTTTATATAACTACATTTTCCTTGTATTAATACATATACCTGCCCAAGGCTGACAATATTACTGGCTCATACTGTATAGTGTCTCTATATAACCTCAATAAAAGTGCTGTGTGTGTTCATTATCAAACGTAAGACATGGTTATCAAACCGTGTCATAAATCCCATAAAATACAAAACATGTGTACACGTTAGACCAGGTCCCTCCTACAAGGCTAGTAAAACGTCCACAGGTGAAATCATTACCTATGTAGCTTGTGACATGAATCAACCTACCGTGACTCCACACAAGTGATTTAAATTACCTGGACAAGCAGGTTTCGGCAAGATCTGTGGACTTAACTTGATAGCAAATGGTCAAACAATACATATAACATGTAGGCCTCTGCCTCAAAATGTTTTTAAATGAAACAAGGCTAGCAGACTGGTATAGCTAGAACAACACAGGATTCCCAGACCATTTGTATAGAGTATCTTGTGTACTGTACATGTGTTAGGTATGATGTGTTATGTATACAATAACATGTCCAGTACACTTTCACACAAGAGGCAGGCAAGCATGACCCTGCACTCTTCTTATGCATGTAAATACCAAATTTTGCAAAAGAAAGAAAATGAGGACCAACATAGGTGATCCAAGAAATATGTTAATAAAATGTTTGCATATTTTTTTGAGCAATTGATTTTAAACTTGCTGTCGCTTCAATAAGTTTCCTGAAACTTGTGATCACTAAATATCAGCAAAATTGCGTTTTCGGTAAACTATGAAACAGGAAAACCTGCTCTCAAGCTACACCTCTCTGAATTCTTAATCATCCTTCAGCAAAAGGTATATACATGTATATGTAAGAGTAGCATTCCTGTAGAGGGGTGGGGCTCCTAAGGGGGGACTCACCGTAGGACGCTTCCACTCGAATGGGCGAGGTGAACGCTTACTGAAGAAGATGGACATGTCAGTTGCCTCAAACTCAGGATCCTCAAATAGAATACCTTCATCCAGACATTTTGCCTTGATTTGATCATAATTCTGGTTCAGAACACCAGAGAATGGATTTTTCTTTTCCTTACGGGATGCTCTACCGCAAACGTTTGGCCTTTGGGTACTTCTGCCACCGCCCCTTGCACTTCCTCCCCCGATGTTAAATTTGTAATTCCCCATCCCTCCAAACTTGTTGCCAAATCCAACGTTGATGTCGGTGCCACCATTCTCACCGGAGCCAACATCCATCCCGGGTCCGTCGCCTCCATATCTGAAGGTTTTGGTTGTGGTTTGTACAGGCCCTCCTCCAGAAGAATAGCTGGTCGTGACAGTCCTAGAACCACCACTTTTGAATCCGAACATGGTTAGGCTTTCCTGAAAAATAGCAGTAATAACCTGTAGGTTCCAGTATAAACAGTTTCCGAACTGCGCCCTTTCAACTCTGTTCGCTACACTTGACTGCAGGAACGTGAACGCAACAGCGATCGATGGTTCACGGCGCTCGATTATTTATGCTGCCTCAAATGTATGTGTGCGTCCGCGTCAAGCTACAGGCAGTTATGTTGCCAGCTCCTAGCAGATGCGAATAATTAGAGACGCTTCCCTTATAATGACTAACCTATACACTTACCTAAATAATATGTACTGTTTCCACCGGTGTTTGTCGACTGGTTTCACTTTTCCTCTGCAATCAAACAAGCGAAACTTGCTCCCGGAAAGACAATCCTAATATCTGAAACCAGGTGACAAAAAAAGCCGGAACCTAGCTGTGTTCGGGACGCTTCTGAAGTTGACAAATACATGAATCACAGGTACAAATCATATGTAATAGCACTAATATTTTACTTAGATTTATTCAAAGATATGAATTAAGTTAATCCGACAGTCAACACTTTGCAGGAACATTTTTAGAATATATCCTGATTTACACAAAACTTAGCTTCAAGTTTTATAACTTCATCAACTTTATTTCTCAAGATCGTCATTTCTACACATTTGAAGTGGAGATAATATCGATTAACGACGATGTGGTCAGCACGTTTTGAATAACCCAGTCTAATTCCTATATTAATTCTTCACTGTGAAGTTTGAACTTAAATGGATATTTAAGTCAAAATTTAACAAAACTGACAGTAGAGGGATATTGGACGAATATACCCCCTCCCCCAAACTAATACAAAAAAATCCGTCACCAATAATCAATAACAATTTCATACAATCACTAAAATCCTTATCCCATTGTTTTTATTTTAGAGACTAAATGTGTTTTTATTTTTTTTATTTTTTTTAAAGGCAGATTACACATCCCTGTCTGATGGCTACAATAAGTAGGCCTAATACGTTCGCTCTAATATAGTAACAAATGACTGAGATGTCTACAGAGGTTTCTGAAGCAGCTGGAACATTAGCAAAGGTTTGACTGGTGCCAAATATACAAGTTACACGAGTAGAACTTTGAATACTTTGTATACCCAATGCCAATGTTGCATGGACAATTAAATATGGAAATAGATAAATAAATATTTGAAAATTTTGTCTGCACTTAATAGCAATCCACTGAGTTATCTGCTTGTTATAATAGTTTTCCTTCCTTCGTTTTAGGGAGATTTGAATGCTAAAGATGAAAGTATTTAATGTATTGTAAACTAAAAAAATGTTTTTTTAGCCGGAAATACCTCAATTCTTCTGATAACAGTTCGGAATGAATTAGTAACACTTACCAATAATCTTTAATATTGTAACTAATACTTATGAACTCCACATTATAAGTAACACATTCTGTATCAACAGCGATAAATTGTTCCATGCATGTTTCTCATTATATTTTCCAAGCTTTATGTTTCCCCTCCGCCTTTTTAGTTTGTATCTAGGTTTTTTTTTCCAGTCTCCACGTTAAATGAGTTTCTCTAACTGAAGCATCCATTTAGAAATATAACAAAAACGCAAATCCGGTACTGCATAATCATTTCTAATAAGAGCACAAACAGCTAATCTATAAATTCAAATGAGCCGACATTTTTGTGGTGAAATCGGGAATTTTTTAGGAGTGGCTCCTCCCGGGTTGGTCACACGCCACTTTATCGGCAGAGCATTTTCTGTCTAACCACCCACGTGTTCACACACGTACATGCACGTCATGTACCTAGGTCCTATATGGACACACATTTGATACAGTGTTACAACTAATTGGACACGCTTAAATCATGTAAATGAAGCGTGTCTCGTGGTCGGAGAGTTTTGTAGTGGAGTTTATCCGAGATCAAGGTTTGTGTGCGATTTTATTTTTTATGAGATTTAGGAATCCCCGTTATATTTAATGTATATAGTTTGCTGGCATTATGTTTATTTTTGGAGATGTCGATTTGAAGCCTAATTGTTGGCAGGTCTATTAGGCCATCACTATACGTGTGGGGAGGGGTTACCTGGGGAGGCACCACGTAGCTTACAGTAGCATTAATATTAGTACACAAATCCGCGTTTGATAATCCGTTTAAGGAATAATAAGGATGATTTATATAAACGTATACCCTTTACATTTGATCTTATTTTCAAATACCGTTGTACTATCGTATGAAATGCCAATTAACATGTATTCAATTAATTACGTACAGGTGTACTTCTTTTAGAAACTGAGGATAGGTACAAATGGTTAAAGAAATGTTCAATTTAACTTATTTGAAGATAGGTGGAATTAAGACGAATTTTACCTATCCCAAATTTAAGACATCTTCTTTGGAATTGCAGGTATCTATTATTAATTAAAATGAAAATATCTTACATTGGTCAAATATCTGCTATATTATTTGAATATATCATAAATTGGATTTCAAAGCTCCAAACTGACTTGCAGAATGCATTTCAGTATTTCTTTGTTTCATTGTTATTTTTTTCTTGTTTTTCTTTTACTTATTAATACAATATATTTATTTATATATTTCATTATTTTTTTATTTCTATTTTTATTTATTTATTGTACGTTTTGTTTAATCCGATACTTGAAATGTTTTGATGAAAAGTACAAACACTTGATTAACTGATTGTTATCAACCCGAACTAACTGAAAAACTATTGCAGTTTCTGGGGGGAAACGGTTGAAGGAGTTGTACCCAGGTACTAATTTGAATCTATTTCAAATCCAATTGTATTGTTGGCATGGTTTGGCATTTTTTCTCTTTTAGTGTGACAGGAGTTGTATCCCTTGTACAATTATTTTTACAAGGGCCATAACTCGTATGAGTTTATAACAAATACAGTTTTTTACTGTCATAATTTAACGATTTCGAGTAGCAATCTTATTCCATAGTGTCAGTCGTTTTTTTTATTCCTCAGTGTCTATAAAACATTGTCTTGTACTTTATTTTAGTTATATTAAAAACTTTGTTATAAGTTTGTAATATAGACCTACAGCCCATATTTGTTTGTTTTACTTCCCTTGATTTTACCATCATGTTTATATATTTACAGAACTGTCAGCACATACTTTTTACGGTATAAATCTAAACAGAAGAGAAGAAAGATTCTTAGTCAGGTTTGAGTGCCAGGATAGCATATGTTAAATTCATAGCATTTTCTGGTTTACGTGTCCAAAACATACCCGACCTCCGGGAACAGATCCGTTGTATCCCTACAACCTAGCAATAACGGGGGTTTGGTTTTTATGTGGGGGGGTTTGTAAGATATATTTTTCAAACGCGAGAAGACCATCATTTGTACTATTAAATGTACATTTTGAATTCCTAAAACCATTTGAGGTATTTGTTTAATGGTTTTTGAGTATTTGATGTTTTCAGATAAATTTATGACGTAAAAATCAAAATGGCCGACACTAGTTATTTGCGCAGTTGACAATAGACATTCCGACGAGAATGTTAAGTTCATTGGTTAACATGATTGGATGTAAACTATGGCAGTGACCTTCTTGTATGATCTATGTCTAAAATGGTTGTAAATTATAAATTTTAAAGACACAGTTAAACCATATTATCTCACCGCTTCTGTGGTAGAATGCTGTTTTGTCCAAATTCACATGAACTCATTTGTAATATTTTGCTAGTCTCGTCCATAGTTGATAATACTGATGACTTGCAGATTTTAATATATTTTTATGTAATCACACTACTGGGTTCCCCATTAATAAACAGTCCTTAAGAGTGTATACACACCTGTACGCATACTGGTATATTATACATTTTGTTGCGACACTGGAGGCAACTTATTAAGAGCAATTCCAAATTTAATTGTAAGTAATATGTTCAAAGCATGAGAAATTTCATATCAAAGTGGACATTTTTGCCGTTATAAGACGCTTATATTGTCGATACTAGGTATGTTTTCGTCACAAGGTGAATCATCTGTGTCATTATATCTATAGCTAGGGGGTATTGTAATAAATTAAAATCCCCCACAGAGGAGTCAAAGTGAATTCAGCAGTGGTATTTGTAGATTTTGTTTTCTTCATTTTCAAATAGTCGATGAGCCCCATTACAAAGAGATTTGGTGGGGCCTCAAATTGTGTGCGAGTTTCACAGGAAAAGTGCGAGTGCAGGGACCGTACTCATGAAATCTTTTTTATGCTCAAACCCGGTTCTGCAATGCTCAAGCCACGATCTTGGCATGTGATAATTTATTCAAAATATAATAATTATATATAACTTGATGAAACACTTAATGCCGAACACCATTTTTCTATGTCTAAACGTCCACTTTTGTCTGTGTCACAGATTTTAGTGAATTACAAGAAGGTTGGTTTGATCATAGAATTCAAGCATGAGCATGAGGATGGTTTTATGAATACGGTATGAATGTTTAGAAATATGAAAACGAGGGTGAATATGATAAATATGAATACAATGTTTCGAATACGGATATATTTGTGTTCCAAAAACCGATGCGAGATCTTCTTTTGTCATAGCCCACTGTTGTACTGTGATACACAAGCTGTTCGGTTGCCAGCGTTACCGATACCTAGGAATTTGGCTTAAACACAATAATATGATAACAAAGAATGAGATATTACTGAGCGAGAAGAGTAAACCACGTGTTTCTTCAGGCCCCGTAAACTCATAAATATTTTTATTCCATACAAAACATTTTTTCTACTTTGTAATAGAATATTTGTTGTCTCATAAACATAAACACACGAGTACTTTATTTGTTATGTATACACTAGTCTAGACTGACGTTTGTTTCGTGTAAGATTGTTCCTATCATAAACACGAGGTATCGATAATTCTGTCTGATGTCGGTGTGTTATTCCTGTTGTGAGCAAAACAGGAACATAATTCGAAATTAGATTTGGTGATGTGCTTAAAGCATTACTTATATAAAACACTGAAAGGTTATTTAGGAACAGCTATTTCTATCTGAAAAAATGAGTGAAAGGCATTTGTTTAAAATAAAACAAGGAGAGACGAATTGACAATAGCGAGAAACAAATTTACACTCATCCATTGTAGTTTAACTCTATCTGGAATCCTGCAATAAACTGTCCCAAATATAACGCTTATAGTGACCACCGCTGTGATGGACAAATAATTTGTGCCATGAATGTGGCGTTTTATACACAGATATTGACAATCATAAACCACTAATGTGTGCTGATAAGGAACACATAAGGGA